CTGTATCAAAGTATGATTCTTTTATATTTTGAACTAATTTAAAGTGTTGCTTCCTAAGTTTGAGTTTTTTAAAGTAAGGTTTTAGTAGTAGACGATATAAAACTGGACTCAAATTTCTATGGTCATATGAAATTTAAAAAACTGTTTAAATTGGAAAATCTCTTTACAATGTGTACATTAGGAATCATTCAACCTACTAAATACTATTTCTATGATATTCAATTTGGGTTTGAGTACCTGAACATGAGAACTTATGGGTAAGCCAACTTGACCCCATACTTTGATTAGCAAATAGAGCCATAATATGAGGCTCTAGGGTGAGGAACAGGTTGAAATGATGTTTAAAAGTGATTAAGATAATTAAAAATAAATAAAAAATAATTTTTTGGTGCCAAGAAGATTCGAACATAAGACATTAGAGTCGCAAAAGCACGTTCATCCACTGAGCTATTTAACATATTCAATAAATAATTGAAACATAACATTATATAACAAGAATAACGTTATTACTGGAAAAAACAATTGAATAAAATACATATTCCTTCCGTCAAAATATCTCGCGTGCTTCATTTTTTTCTGAAAAATATTCTCACTTGCGAAAAAACAGTGAAATAAACTTCAATTTTCTTCTTTCAATTCCAAATTGATTCCCATGGAACCTTAATCTATTGCGTGTCAACTCTGTCGAACCCTAAAAATCATTGACTAGCTTTGTCGTGATATGCTCTAAATCCTTCTTCAAACAATCACGACAACAATAATCACAATGTAGCTTTTTGTAGCTCGATCTGCATCCTAAATCGGTTTCTGCAAAAGGGATTCGACATTACAAAATCGATATTTTTGCTTAAACCTCAACGTCATTGAAATCAACAGTTCTGCAAAAGGGTTTCTTTCACTTCGCATCTCTGTCTCTCTTCAAAGCTCCAGAATCAACATTTTGAAGAAAATCGCGGGTATTTCTTCCAAGATTAAGAATTGATAATTTTTTGTTCTTATAATTGATATGAATCGTTAGATGTTCGATTAAATGCCTCAAAGAAACAAGATGTTAATTATTTAAACTCACTTTGATCTTGTTTTATTGATGCAGCTTGAGAAACAGAATTTGGGTTGCTAGCATCGAAGCGGAGTCGTATGTAGTAAAAAATTCATTGATTCTTTGTTTTGTTGAGCTTTGTCTCGTTCCTTTTGTAATTCCTTATACTTGTATCAATTTATCCCTTGTTTAAAAAAAATTATAAATTAATATGTTAAATTTATTTGTTGATAATAAAACATTTTAAAGTTAAATCCTCTAATACAAATATTTAAACTACATATTTGAATCTAATTACACATTTTATAATTTTATAATGATATAAGAAGGAACAAAATTTAAAGTCAAATTCTCTAACTTAAATATTTAAATTACTCCTGTTAAAACCTTGTCATCACCCTCACTCTCTCTCACTCAACCATCATGTTGTTCTCTTCTTCATATAAGAAAGAAGAAACAATATGCAGGTTAGGTTAGGGTGAAGAAATTAAAGAGGGTAAAATAAAATGTGCCATGAAAATTCTAGACAAAGAGACAGTAGAGTCAGAGTCCCAGGTTCCTGAATGAGACACAAACTTTAGTTAATGGCTCACACAACAGTACCATGTTTTCTACCCATCCATGCTCAACTTTTTCATCACTTTTACTCCTTCTTTTTGTTCCCTCTCAAAACCCTTTCTCTTTCCAAATACGCGTGCCCCTATCCTGATAACGTCATCCCACCTACACCACTCCCTCTCCACATTTTTATATTCAAACACTCATCTATGTAAACTGATAAAATTTTAATCACATACATTAATGGACTAATGCAATATTGATGATTGTTTATGAAAATGCATAATTATTAACAATAACGTGGTTTAGGTAACCCCGTTCTTGATGAATCATTCCTTCCATTCACCAACACAAGACAGCATCATTAAAACAAGACTCTACCTGTCCGTTTTCATCTTAGAACCTTCACAAACACTACACATCTATAACCTCCATTTCCCTCATGTTTTTCACCAAAAAAAATAACCAAACTCATTATTTTGTTCTCTCTACCTATCTTTTAATAACCCAACCCATAGAAGAAAATCATTGTTTCTCAAATATTTCCTTTTTGTTTATTCACACGCGTTTATATTTTCTTTTTTTCCATTTTTAAATATCTCTCATTACACTTGCCACCTTTTTCACTATGCTTTTATTATGATTTCTTTTTTGTTGGAGTTTTTGCCTTTTCACACTTGAGTATTAATTATCTCTTAGCTTCTCTTCACACTCTCTTTATCTTCTTCATCTCTCACCTATATCTACATGCATTTTCACACTCTTCACCCTCTTATAATTTCTACATGATGATGAAAGTGTATTAATGGTGTGGTGGTGGTGAATTTGATGCAGCAATATTACTGGTAATTTGTATGATGGATTCGTGTGTCCCGCCGGGATTTCGGTTTCATCCGACCGACGGAGAGCTCGTTGGTTATTATCTTAGAAAGAAAATTGCTTCTCACAATATTGATCTTGATGTTATCAAAGAAATCGATCTATATCGTATCGAACCATGGGATCTCCAAGGTATATATATAATTTAGTAAATTTTTCACATCATATATAGTGTTCAAATTTTCTAAAACCTTGTATATACCACAGTAATGCACAAGATTATACCAGTTCATCAAAATTCTTGATTAGGGTTTTATTAGGGTTAAGTTTTTTTTTTCCATGTTAAAAATTATATATTGAAAGGTTTTAGATCTTTGAATACAGATATGTGCAGAATTGGGAATGAGGAGCAGCATGAATGGTATTTTTTTAGTCACAAAGATAAGAAATATCCGACTGGGACGAGGACGAACCGAGCTACAATGGTGGGGTTCTGGAAAGCAACAGGAAGAGATAAGTCAGTGTATGAAGGAACAAAGCTTATTGGAATGAGGAAGACACTTGTTTTCTACAAAGGAAGAGCTCCTAATGGACAGAAAACTGATTGGATCATGCATGAGTATAGGGTTGAAACTGTAGAAAATGCACCTCCGCAGGCAAGTTTAATTATCTTAATTCTTAAACATATTTCTATATAGTATATATTATATTATATAGTTCATATAAATACCATATATTTTGTGTTGAGTTTGAGGAGTTAGTTAAAGTTTAAACTTGATTAGTGACTTTTAATGAGCATTGTTACTTTATGTTAATTAGTGTTAAAAGGGTTTCAACTTCCAATAGTAATTCTTTATCACTATATGTCATTTTCTCATGTTATAGTTTAGTATAATTAAGCTCATGATAACTCCTCTAAACTAGTTTTATAGTAACTTAATAATACTATACTATATAGAGAGCACAAACTTTTTTTCTCAAACAACGGTAAGAAACTTGTTATTTCCTTCTAATATCATTATCAAGGTTTTAAATTTCAGCAGGCGGTCGCATAAAGATTTTCGCAATTTCAGTCGGAACAGATGGTGTGATACTAGTTGCGATCGTCGCAGTGTGAATTAATACAATTTATTCTTTACTTCATAAATAATGACATTGTTATCAGCAATTTAGCATCTTTCAATATCGTTTTGTCGTGCCCGTTTTCGTGGTAACTTTATCATTATATTAGATGATCACTTTATTAGCGGATTGTTTTTAGTTTGTTTGACTTAAGTAAATGATTGACTTACACTAAGTACAAAAAAAGACTGAATTTTCACAAAAGCTAAAAGTAAACACACGCATAAAAAGATGAACAAGAACTTTCACCTTTTCACATTCAAAACATCATGAATTGTTGATGAATGACATATTCAAGTCAAATATGACTCTACCTTATGTAGTCTCTAAATTCAAGTCTCTTCTTTCTTTGACCATTTCACAAAACATCATTATAATTACCTTTCGAACTTAATTAAACTAAGTATGGCTTTGCAGGAGGAAGGTTGGGTTGTGTGCAAAGCATTCAAGAAGAAAACCAATGTTCAAACAAAGACTAATGAAAGATGGGAACCAACCAACTTATATGATATGGAACAAACAAGTGGCATCATCTCAAGGCAACCTCAGAGGATTTCATCTCAAAATTTCATGTACAAGCAAGATATAGAAGAAGATAACTTAATCTTCATGCACTCACAACAACTGGTACCTCTTCCTCAGTTAGAAAGTCTCTCTTTGCCATTAGAAAAGAGACAAATTTCAATGTCAATAGAGTCAGAAAATAATGTTAACAATAATGATGTTCAAATTGGATTGTTATCCAGCATCAGCAAAACTGAGAAAGTGACTGATTGGAGAGATCTTGACAAGTTTGTAGCTTCTCAGTTGAGTCAAGAAGATCATAGATATGAGACAAGCTCAGACATGTCATTGTTGCTACTTCAAAGTAGTAGAGATGAAGAGATAAAGTTAAGCTCATTTTTAAGCTCAAGCTTAGATTGTGACATTGGGATATGTGTATTTGAAAATTAAATACATATAGAAAGGCGTTATCTTTGCTGCATTTGTAGTATTATATGAATATGCAAGTTTGCTTGATATTTTGAGGTTATATAATAATATGGTTTTGTAAAAATGTGTGTGGAAAAGGTTTGGATATCTGTTGCATGTTGTATGAACACAAAATTGCTAAATACATTGTTTGATTTACATTAGGAATGATGTTGTCAATTATGTGGTAAAGAATAAATTAAAATATAAGAAAAATATTGAATCTTTTGGACAAATACAAAAAATTCTATTAGGTTTTATAAAAGAAAGAGAAGAAAAAAAAAGAATCAGAATTGCTTAAAACTGATTTACTTTTCAGTGATTCAATAAGCATTTAAAGATTATCAGTGAATAACAACAATTAATCTCTCTCAACAACCTGAGAGAACTAATCTATTTTATAGACTATTAAGCTAACTTATGTCACAAGTTAACTTAACAATTGGGCTTCAAGTAAGACCCAACTTGACATGCTTTAAATAAAACATATTCCGACAGCATGCTTGAACAGACTTCAAATTCGACATACCAAACTTGTCAAGAACCTTCTTTAGATATGCATAATCTTAACTGCTTTCCATTTATCCAGATGTCAATCACAAAAATTCTAGAGGCAGCTCTCAGATCGTTCATGTCAAACTCTTTATCGATTTCATCCTTCACCTTCATAACATCTTCAACAATGTTGCTTGCTATAAGGATGTCATCCACATAAAGCAACAAAATAACAAGTGAATTTCCATGTCGAAATCTAAAGTAAACACATTGGTCGAACTGACTCCTAGTAAAACCTATTTGTGTCATGAAGTTGTCGAATCTCATATTCCATTGTCGAGGAGATTGTTTCACGCCATATAACGACCTACTCGGCTTGCATACATAATCTTTCTTTACCTTTTCTTCGTAGCCTTTAGGTTTCCTCATCAAGATGGTTTCATCTAGATCACCATGCAGGAATGTTGTCTTTACATCCATCTGTTCAAGTTCTAGGTCAAACTTAGTCACCATAGCTAACAACATTCTAATGGATATGTACTTTACAATAGGTGAAAATACATCATTGAATTTGAGACCCTCTTTCTGAGTGGACTCCCTAGCAACAAACCTTACCTTAAAATATTTTGACATCACTCCTTTGATTCCTTCCTTAACCTTGAAAACCCACTTAAAACTAACTAACTTGGCCCCTGCATGTTTCTTGATCTGCTCCCAGGTATAATTATCATGAAGAAATTTCATCTCATCATCCATGTCTTTCAGCCATTCATTCTTATCTCGACTCCTCATAACTTCCTTATAGTCTTTAGGTTCTTCGTCCAAAACATCACTTGCAGAGATTAAGGCATAAGTTATGAGATCTACATAACCAAGTCTCTGAGGTGGCTTGATGACTCTTCTCGACTTATCTCTTTCCAGCGGGTAGTCATTATCAGTCTCCTCATCTTCATTAGCACCTTATGCTTCTTCTTCGACTTCATCTGGGTTATGCACTTCAGTATCACTATGCTCCACCTCAACGGGAAATTCTTTCTGTTCTAGCTTTTCTCCAGAGATCTTAGTACTTCCACCAACGTCATCAGATTCCTTGAATTTTATTTCTGCTTCATTGAAAACTACATCTCGACTTACGATACACCTTTTGTGACTTGGCTCTAGACACCACATCCTATCAGCTTTGACTCCTTCATGGTATCCAAGAAATATACATCTCAGAGCTCTAGGTTCGAATTTGTCTTACCTAATATGAGCGTAAACTAAACAACCAAATACTCTAAGTCTGTCGAGATTAGGTGGATGTCCTAACCAGACTTCTTCAAGTGTCTTTATTCGCAAGGCAGTCGAGGACGTATTGTCGCAGACGTTTAGCGGCCCATGCTAAAGCACAACAAGTCTTCTCAAGCATAGTGTATCGAGATTCACAATCGGTAAACTTCTTGCTCAAGTAATAAGTGACGTGATCTTGTTTTTCTGTTTCATCTCGCTGACCGAGTACACATCCCATCGAATATTCCAAAACAGTCAAATACATGATCAAAGGTCGTCCTTCCACTGGCGGTATCAGAATAGGTGGTTCAAGCAAATACTCTTTGATACTATCAAAAGCCTTCGGACAATCTTCAGTCCAAACGTAACCTTGTTATTGAAGGTGAGATAATACTTAGAAGGGGGGTTGAATAAGTATGAAAGATTAAGACTTAAAAAATAATCACACAATTATTTTTATCCTGGTTCGTTTAAACAACTACTCTAGTCCACCCTTCCTAGAGTGATTTGCCTTTCTCAACAAGGACTTAATCCACTATTAAATCAAACTGATTACAATAGTAACACCTAAGAACAACTGTTCTTAGTCTTCTTAAGAGCTACTGATTCCAACTGAATCCTCTTAAGGAAAAACCTTTACAATCAATGTAAATAAAATACAAGAGTATTAATGCTTCTATAAAGCTTTTATCACAACAGTGATTTTTCTCTTAAGTTTAAGTACAAAAGATTCTAAGAAGAATATGAAATAATGAGAGCTTAGAATAATATGATTTCTTTTCAGCAAATTGTGTAACTGAAGAATGTGGTGGAGTTCTCCTTTTATAGGCAGCTGATCCAAGGATGCTGAGCGTTGAAAAGAGAGTCCCAAAAAGGCCTGAGCCTTTTTTTCTTCACATCAAATGACCTTTCCTAGAAGTAGATAGCACAGAAAAATCCTTTTTGTCTGTGTAAGTGTGTCTAGCACAAATGAGGAAAGAGACGTTGATTTACTCCAACGGATATATTCTTGAATATTTCTTCTTCAGTTTTCAGCAAGTTCTTCAGAGTCTGAATGGATCAGAGTCTTCTAATGATGTTCAGAACTTTGGTATATCAGAGTCTTCTGCAGCAGGTGTGCTTTCAGCGTGTTGATCATCAGAGCATATTTGTCACAGAACTTCAGTACTTGGCAGCATTGGTACTTTCAGAAACTTTTGTAGAATTATGCTTTGAGAAACTCTTCAAACAATATTCTTCTTTGCTTCAGATGCTTCAGCTTCAGATGCTTCTGACAAACTTCAGATGCTTCTGACTAGCTTCAGATGCTTCTGACTCAGAATGTTCTGGAGCTTCTTGCTTCAGATCCTTCTGGAGACTACGCTCAGGATCTTCTGTAAAGAGCAGTCAGAATCTTCTGTAAGGTGCATCTGACGCTTCAGAGTCAGGATAACTTCTTGTATACAACATATTTGCTTCTAGAGAGTTAATTTCATTTCAATCTGCAGTAAAACTCTCAAACAAATTTTAGAGTATATAATTCTTAAATATAAAATTTCCTAACAGTTATCATCAAAACAAAGAGTTATTATTAGGAACCAATATGTGTTCTAACAATCTCCCCCTTTTTGATGATGACAAAAAGTATCAGAAATTTTATTTAACTGAACATAAAGAATTATAACTCCCCCTGAGATGATGAATCTCCCCATGAGTTAAATGTGAAAAAGGAATAGAAACTTCCCTTTTGTCTTGAGTAATCTTCAGAGTTAGATCTTGTTTGTTCTTATAACATTTTAGGGTCAGAATGTCTTGCAGATATAAGATTCAGAGTTTGATAAAATACAAATGATCTGAGAGACTCAGAGTTTCTTTTATAGAGTGTTCTTATCAAATGTTCTGAAATAGTCAAGTTAACTGTTAGATAGAATAGATATGTCTGAAGATTCATTCTGGTGAAGTTATATTAAACAGTTCAGATCTATATTTTCTCCCCCTTTTTTGTCATAAGCAAAAAGTAAAAGCTTTTAAAAAGACAAATAAAAGGAACAATAAATAAGATAATTCAATGGAGAAAACTGATTCATTCAAAATAACAGAGCAAGAGTACATAGATAAACATCAGAAGGAATAACAATAAAATTCAGATGCAAACAACAGATGCAAAAAAAAAATTGAAATGAAGAAAAAAAATCTAAGAGTGTTTGGACAAAAGCATCTTCAATAGATCTGTAATCTCAGAGGAGGATTGCTCTTGCTTGGACATCCACTTAGTCATAGTTTCATTCTTCTCATCTTGTTTTGACATCCATTATGTCATATCCTCAGACTTCTTATCCTGCTTAGCCATCCATGATTTTATCTCTGACTGTCCAGCCTCCAGAGCAGCAATCTTGTCTCCAAAGTCTGGATGTTCTGTCTTTATCTCAGATGAAGAAGTTGGAGGTTCTGTAGCCTGAACAGAGTCAATTGCCATTGGTTCTGTAGATCCTGAAGATGGTTCTACCAGAGTCATAGTCAATGCATTAGCAGTAGATTCTGTTGGAGGTGGAGGAGCATCTAAACGAAGCAGAGGTTCAGTTTTGTTGACAGTCCAGAATAGAGTCCTTTCAGCTCTGAGCTTTGCATCATCAGAACAGACGTTCTTCAGATTTGAAGCTACAGTGTTAAATCTGTTTATGAATCCTTTCCAGATGATGTCAGATTCATTTGCATCCATTGTTTCAGAGCATTTCTTCTGAACAATACCTAAAGACATCTGTATTTCTTGCAAAAAAGTTTGAAATAAATGATCAATATTAAGTCTAGGTTGTGGTTTAAGCAAGGTTTCCAGAGTTATATGTTTAGGTTTGGGAGTTGGTGGAAGAAGTGATTTTTGGATGGAAATCAGAGGAGGAGGATAAAATGGAATGAAAGGAATTTCTCGTTTTGGAGGTAAGGATCTGTTTAAAGCATTAAGCAAATGAGGTTTTGGTCTTGTGCGAGGGTAAACATCATCAAAGGGTTCATTAGAGTATGGTATGAAAGCAGAGTTTGGTGATTCAGCAGATGCAACTGTGTTATCAGATGCAGGTTGCAGAGCTGAAACAACAGCTTTACCAGAGGTTGCAGATATTGTTGCTAAGGATCCTACATTGTTCATTGTTTGAATATATGACAAAATCACAGATGGAAGAGCCTGTCTGAGTTTTGGTTTCAGAGGATTGAGGGGTTCAGAAGGTTCAACTCTATCATAAAAA